GGTCGATGCGATTCGCTTCGATCTTCCCTTCCAAAACTAGAATAAACGAGTGATTTTTGCTTAAAAATGTCCGTGCGTAACGCCTAGAATTGCCCAGGAGTAAGATTTCCCTGACCTTGCCCACTTGCACTGGGAACACTCACTCTTATTGGGTGAGAATCGCAGATTCTTACTAAAATTGAGATATCTCGCTCTCAGGAGTGTGAGATTTTTTGTGTCACTCATCTCGCTCCCCTCAATGTTAAAAAAAGTCAGAACTTCACGCAGAATTCGTTGTGAAAGAAGTTGCCAGAACTCTTTGTGAAATCACAACTCTTCTTCGTTGTCAAAAATGAATAACTTCAGAAATTATTACGATTAGTTCACAAGAATTTCCAAGTAAGATATCAAAATGCACTAATTTGGACTACAAAAAAGTGTTGTGATTTCACAGTTGCTTCGTATCATAAAAGTGTTGGGAAGTGACAAAATATTTTTAACAGTACTGAGAGTAAGATATCTGACTAGCATTTTCAGTGATGTCTGTTTGGTAGTTAACTCACCGGGATTTGCAGATAGCAACTTAAATATTTCAATATTGGTTACACTGGAAAAACAAAAGGTTGGACTCAAAGGGTTTATATGGCTCTATGCCTTCACAAAGGCATTAAAATTTCTCGAAGGTACTAAATTTTAACGCCTTTGCACACCTTCGTGCGTTTAGAAAGGCTTTAAATTCATACCCCTAAAGGCATTACGTCCTAGTTTTTCTAGTGTACTTCCAAGAAACTTTTCGACAAGTCCAGGCTGTTGAAGGAATTCCCCTAGCCCCGACCGGGCACGCAACAATAATTCATCGAAACGAAATACTCTCCCGCAAAATCACGCGCATTGCATGAAAGTCTACGGGGGTTTTCGTGTATGTTTTGGAAATGTTTCGCGCCTCTCACTCTCTCACGCGCGCCGCCATCACACCACCAGGACGGCCATAACGTGGGCGGGGCGCGGCCGGGCAGTGCCGGGAGAGGAGCTCCCGCAGGCTCGGGCTCGTGGCAGTTCATTCATTTTGTTTTCCAAATGGCGCGCGGATCTTGACGGAGTGAGCCGCACCCATTCATCCGAGTAGCGGAACCCACCCGGCTCACCTTCCCTTTCCCTCATCCTCATCTTTGTATTCGCCAAGTCAGAGCGCGCGCACACACACACGCACCGTCGCACACACGCACGAGCGTGTCACTCCAGGCGGAGTTTTTGCAAAACAAGAGTTTTGTTCGTAATATCCTGTTTATGTAGTTTCGGTATATACCAATCTGCTCGCGGAGCACTACACGTTGGCTCTATTTAGATTTGAAAGAACAGAGAAGTTTACCGCCCGGACATTTTTTAAATACTTAGTTTTTATCGCACAATTTGGTCGGTTTTCTGTCTCTGTTCCAGGACCACCCCAGTCCTGATTGGTTTGTCAAGCGGTGTGTGTGTGTGTCTGTGTATGTGTGTGTGTGTGAGTGTGCACGCGTGTGCGAATGGGCGCAGCACTGGCGGCTAGTCATGCCCCGTGATTGGCCAGCCCGTACCTAGTCCCCTCTCCTCCCCCCGTCAGGAATAAAATGTTGAACTATTAACTGGTATTTGAACCCGAACCCGGGATGATGGTTATCTTCCATCGGGATCAGCCGACTCACTGTTAAAAAAAAGTTGCAGTGAAACCTGTTGCACCATTTTGGTCAGCTGATGTGCACATACGCTGAAATGCTAATTACGCTGTAAGTTATACGATTCGAACAACACCTTAACTTGAAGTCAAATCCAACGCCGGAACGTACCATGATAATCGAAGTAGTTCACTTTGAATTTTACCGCTAAATTACAATGCTGCTGGTTACATTGTGGCTTGAGAAAGCATTTCGCTGTGAGCTTCTAACAGTGCGACTAGACCAAGAAGTGTGTCTCCCGCGGAGAATACCAAAATGAAAGAATTAATAAGAATGAAACATGGCAGGACTTTATTGTCAGCCGCCAAGACGTTTTGTTTTCAAACGAAAAATATATTCCATAGTTAATATCTTGAAGGACACTTGAAGCATAACTTAGTAGAGTGTAAGATGAATTCGGCCGTAATGCAAGAATGTGAACCCGCGGCCACCCAGGTGGTGCGACGGCGGCGCGAACGGTATATATCCTCGTGAAAATGTAACGCCAGTCATAATGCACGGAAATAAAATGACGAGGTTTTTATTCCGAGGGAGTGATAATTAGTATCCCCTCCTCTTTCTGCCCCCCCCCCC